GAGACACCATTGCTCTTCAGCACTTTGGAGAGGTCCCTAACAGCAGACTTTCCCACTGCAATGCGCCTTTTAATTTCCTGGCTGCTGGTGCCAAGAGTGTTGACTATGGAGCCAAGCAAACTAAAGCTGTGTACAATCTCAATCTCTTCACCATATATCTCCTTAAACATAATATGTTTTTATTGTATTAAGATGTTTTAAAAACATATACTTACTTTATCTGGAATTCTTGACCTGGTAAATTTGTGACGAATCCAATCTGTACAGATGAGGGACTCCATACCTTTTGTGATAGTCTAAAATATGATATAAAAAACATTTGATTTTCAAGATTTTGATTAGTGCAGAAATCCACATTCGTTAATCTTTAAGTGACAAAATTCTGTCCCACCCTACCCTTGAACTTTTAAAGGTTTATCTCAGGTCTTTAGGGTGATGATGCAAACACCAACATATTACAAAGCTGAATACAGGATTTGAGGCCAGAGGGTCACAATTTTTTTTGAAAAGGGTCTGATTGTAAGTATTTTCAGCTCTGGAAGCTATGTGTTGGTGGCAGTATAGGGTGTCCTCAAGTCAACCACAACTCACTGTGACCCTCTGAACAACAGTTCTGAACCTTGTCCTATCCTGAGCCATCCTTATCATCTCTGATATGCTTGAGTCCACTGTCATAGTCACTGTGACAATCCATCTTCTTGAAGGTCTTCCTCTTTTTCCCATCCATCTTTCACCACCCACCTTTCCCAGCATGATGTCTTTTTCCAAGGACTGCCCCCCTACAATAAGCCCAGAGTATGTAAGATGAAGTTTCACCATCCTTGACTCTAAGGAGCACCTTATTACATTTCCTCCAAGACAGACTTACTTGTTCTTTGGAAGATACACAGAAGGCATTATTATAACTCTGCCTTTACCAGGTAGAATCACACAGATAAAATAAGCAAAAGAGTGGGGCTGTGTTCTTATAAATTTTTAATTACAAAAACAGATGATGGGCCAAATTTGGATAATGGATCAAAGTTTGTCCAGCCCTCCTTTGGACAATGTAGAATTCGGCTGCAAACTAATATAAAATAAAGAAAAGAGAGAAAAAAAATATAATATGAAAGAAAGTCAAATGAGTTTCCAAATTTCTCCTGTGGCTTAACAATGCTAATATCCCTCCTACTGCTCACCTCTATTCTACCTCTGCATTCCTCCAATCTCTTTTCTCTCAGGTAATTGAATAAAAATGACTCACTGCCAAAGCTTGAAATTCCTAAGTAAACATGGGATTAGGGTACAGTTCAGAGACTGACAATATCAACAATAATTCCCCTCTAACTTTTCCTGTGCCTCAGGGATGGCAAAAATAACTAAAACATTCATATACAACAGGTACCTGGGAATGTGAGTGGTTTAAAAAAAACCACAGTTTTTGACACCAGAAATACTGGGCTTCTTATTCTGCTGTATACTAGCTGTGAGGTACCACATTGTCCACTTATCCCAAAAGTCAGATACCTCAACTATAAAGAAGAAATAATTATGCTCTCATTAGATTAATTTTGAGGTAAAAACAGTAGATGTGAAAGATCTTACATTATTGTCTACAGTGTCTAGCAGATCTACATCTGGATTCTTGTATTTACTGACATAAACTTGTACTGTTGCATTTTTTAAAAGAAAGACGGGAAGGAAAAACATGAACATATTAACACAACTGTTCTCTATGTGAATGCTTCTTTCTACATTTCTTACCTCCTATGATTAGAAATATAACCCTTTCATAACAGAAGGAAAAACCAAATCTTTACAAAAGGTTAAGATGGATAAAGAACAACAAAAGCAGTCATATGTTATTGGAATGCTGCTCTCCATGAAGAGGTCTTTTACAGTTCCATATCTTTAAGTATAAAATAGTACTAAACAACGATTATTTTAAATAGTCTCCCTAAGCAAGATGTTAACATATTTTTTTTAAAAAAAACATACTTCCAAGAATTTAATTTACCCATATGTTTATCTACCAGGAAGAGCTACAAATGAAAAGAGTATATTTTCATTGTTGTTGTTGTTATGTGCTGTCGAGTCGCCTGTGACTCATAGCGACCCTATGTACAACAGCCCTAAATTCCGCTCTGTCCTGTGCCAATCGCACTGTCTCTGACACTCCCAACCCAATTATGCCAGTCACTGAATCAATCCACCTCA